CGTTTTGTCTTATTCCCCCTGAAAAGATCCTGTGCAGTACTTTAAGTACAACATCAGTCCCAGCCTGGAGCAACATCCTACACCCCAAACCCACATCCCCAGCCCCAGCCCAGAGCCCTCACTCCCCCCGCACACCAACCCCCTTCCCCAGCCCAGAGCCCCCGCCCACAGCCTGAACTCCTCATTTCTGGCCCCACCCCAGAGCCCGCACCCCCAGCCAGAGCCCTCAGCCCCTCCCACACCCCAACTCCCAATTTCATGAGCATTCATGGCCCGCCATACAATTTCCATACCCAGATGTGGCCCTCAGGCCAGAAGGTTTGCCCACCCCGATCTTGAGCCAAGCTGCTGGCACACAGGAGGCTACATGTCCCAGCCTACAGTGCCAAGCTGCTTAGCTCAATAAAATGAAGGCTGGGACCTGTAGTCATCACGTCATACATCCACAATTACGGTAACAGGGTGCAGGTGGCACTGGAATTCCACCGGCTGCACCTGGCCTGGTGGCTACACTCTGGGCATCCCCATTTTATGACATACCACGATATTGTTTGGGTCCAGAGACTCCACTGCATCCAGGAACCTGAACTGCACTTGCTGGTACTCTCGATGGTGCTCAAACGTGAAGTGCTGGACTCCTCTTCTTGTCTCCAGCAGCCTCATGGCAATGCCTAGGGGTGCACATGGACAGCCATTACTCCCTCAGGAAGAGAGAGGCAGCTTCTGCCAGCCAGCAAGAATGAGCTCTTCTCACTGCCTGCGCAGAGCTGGTAGCACTGGGGTGAAGAAAGCCCGTTCACATCACTGGGGCCACAAGAGAACTGTTTTCAGGCTAGCTACGCATTCAGAGCTCAGCGAGGTGATTTACCCCTTAAGGCAAATGCTTCCAAGTTCTTCCCCCCACCACCTCCAAAAACCCCAGCAGCCTGCCCCCCCGGCATGCCTCTGATCAGCCAGCATGGCCATCCACGGGAAGACACTTGAGAGCCCTCGGAGGCCTCTTTGCAGTGGAGGAGGGGCAAGCCCCAGCACTGACACACAGCGCTGTTTGCTCTAGCAGCGGAGGGGAGCGTGGCCTTGGCGGCTCATACAACAGGCTGCACTCTGCACACTAACCAGGCTCTAGTACCGGCCATGCGGGCGGACCCGGGAAGTGGAGGCACGTTCCAAAGCGAGGGTTGGAACTCTGTGCTCCCATGAACTTGGCAGAGAGACCGACAGCTCACCCGAGGGCGGGGAAGAACTCGCCTGTTTTGCTGTAGCGTGGCCAGGTGTTCTTGGGAGCAGTCAGCCATGTGCTGCGAACGTACGGACGCTGCCTCTGCCGTGGCCTGCGGGAACCAAACACTACATCATAGCTTCTATTTACTGGACTAAAGCTAAGCATGGGGATGGGAAGCAGATGATAGCTCTCTAGCGCTTGGATTTGGGACAAAGAGATCCAACACCTCATCTGACTGCAGCACTAGGAAATTAATCAAATCCCTCCACAGTCTCCCCCTTGCCCAGGTGTTTTTTGCTGTAGTTTTATCAAGTTGAACATTCTCAGGTGTCCCTTCGAGGCTCTGCATGGCTGCACGCCAGCTTCCACCTAGGCTTTGGCCTGTCAGCCTCTCCGCTCCATTGATTCCCTTCCCCAGCTCCCACTTTTTGTCAATTTTTCTCCTGCCCCTGGAATAGTTTCCCACTCCCAGTTCACAGAACCGTCCCCTGACTGTCGGTCCAATCCAACCTTCTCCCCAGGACCCATGCAGTGGGTCTCAAACTCCTGGCTGGACTCACAAGATGTTTATAGGATCAGCGATAAGGAGGAGCTAAGAAACCCCGGCTACCTTTCCAGGAACACAGACAATCCTCTACACTTGGAAATGTCTCCCTCTTCCCTTGCACTTGTCACCTCTGCTCCGCCTTCAAATTCCTTCTTAATGAGCATCTGTCTTGCACAGAGCCTCTCAGAGATGGCCTCTCGCGCTATCACCACCATCGCTTTGAACTTGCGCTCCTACTGTACTGCACATGTCTCAACCAGAGGGCAAGCTCTTTGAAGTAGGGGTATCAGCTTCTCATTTGCAGGGACAGTGCCCAACACATTGCAAATAAATAACGAGACCTGCACAAGTACAGCACACGCACTGGACAGCTTCCCTGGGTCTACAGCACACGAGCGGATCTGAGACCAGCTGCAGGGACTGGGCCACTCAGACCCCACCCCACAAAATTGCAGAGAGTCTACAGCGGCAAGAACTGATCAAGAAAAATTAAAGGAATAACAAGAAAAATGTGAGGGCCCCATAATGACACAGAACAGTGACAGTGCTTTAGAAGTGCAGGTAACAGTAACAGGGGGAGGAGAAGTATCAGAGGGGTAGCCGTGTTACTCTGGATCTGTAAAAAGCAACAGAGTCCTGTGGCACCTTTAAGACTAACAGAAGTATTGGAGCATAAGCTTTCATGGGTGAATGCCCACTTCGTCGGATGCATGTCACATGCTTATGCTCCAATGCATCTGTTAGTCTTAAAGGTGCCACAGGACTCTCTGTTGCTTTTTATAGGGGGAGGAGAGTCATGGAACAAAACCAAGGACGTGGTGTGAATTTGGATGAAGTCTTGCCTTCCTCCACACAAACATCTAGTGCTTCACTTTTTAAAAAGATGATTATTTCTGCCATCCTCGGGGTCACTTGTAAGTGAGGAGCCCTGGAATGGGGGTATAAACAATATGCCTGTGGGCACTCTCTCTAGGCTGCCCGTCTAGGAGAAGGGTTGGAGGTACAGTCTGTGGTACCAGTAGACATGGAGAGAGACTGACCCATGCTTTGAAAATATAGTTAATATTGCAACTCTGGTCTCACCTCTGATCGCCAAGAACAGCCCGAGCCCCAAAGTACCTCTTCAGCTCAGTCTCCGGATTCAAGTTTCTGGAAAATGTAAGATACAGGTGAGGAAAACCACCAAGAATTAATCCCAGAGCAAGCTTTTCTGAAGCGGCGTTCACCCATTTGACAAATACTGAAGTCGCCTGTTTTCAAACTCCTGCACTGATGCCCAGATCAGGGATCTGACACCCCAAAGCTAGGAACGACGCGAGGATGTTTCAAGATTCAGATTCAACCAGTTATTCTACAGGGATTGTAGCCACATTTCAAAGACTATGTTCAGTCATGGAATAATATTGCTGCCCTCTTGAGGGCAATTGGTGTAATTAGTCTAAACTTTAGACTAATTTAGACTCTATAAAGCATCAACAAAGAACCCTCTGTTCTGGGCCGCTTTATGGATACTTATGCTTGATCCTAAATAGAAAAACAAAGGACCCCAGTTTCCAAATTGTGTACACACTTTGGAATTAATTGATGGAAACAGGTATCTATCAGACCTGGAGAACAAGTCCTCTATCCACACAGCAGATTCTGCATAGGCAAGCGACCCCATTGCCTGGAAGAGACACGTGACACAGCAGTGCACGCCTGAATCAAATTACAAATTCTATCAGGTTGTGTGTGTGGAAATGCTGGACAGTGACTGCACCACCCTGGACACACCCAAAACCAACCCACGGTCCTGCATTCCAGCCAGCTCCCTGCCCAGGAAAGGTGTGACACACCGGGCTGACGGACTAATATTAACAACCATCCAGGCTACAATCTGGGGCCAACAACTTGATCGTCTGTCCATGACTGGCCTATCCCCATTTCCCAGCACCTGGTGGGTCTGTAGCTTCTCAGCCTGAGCACATGACTCAGAGGGGCCCTATTTAAGCACAGGGTACTTCTGCTCTGCAGGGAGCTGACTCACAAGGGCGAGCTCAGACCAGTGGAGGGGCATTGTAGGACTTTCATTGTTTTCCTAGATCTGTAACTCAAGTGTTTTAAGGGTGAAGTCACTGCAGCTACGAAATTCCCTGGGTAACCTATGCTGTCCTCCAAGGGATTCAACTCAAAGCCCAGGGCGCCCACAGGTCGGGGGAACTCTGAAGGAGTGTCAGTCATTGGGGGGCTCAGCAGGTCTCAGACACTGGGTTCAGGCTCTAGAGAGGCTGGGTAGTAGCACCCCATGTCCCGAAGACAGGGGTCAGACAAGAGGTCGGAAGCTGGGAGCACGCCTGATGGTCCCAGGGCTAGAAACAGTGACTAGATTCCACTGACCCAGCTGGCTTGGAAGCGCATGGGATCCAGTGATTGGATCCACCCACAACACGCTGGCGACTGTACAGTGGGGTACGGCCAGGTTGAGACAGGACCCCTCTAGTATCTGTGGCCATTTCGTTCCTCGGCTTTCTGTTGAGATCAGCGGGTGAGCCAGTTTTGTGGTGGTCACATGTGGACAAGTTCACTGCTGGTGGTATTAGCTCTGTGAGGCTATGAAGGTATCACACAGGCTCCTGCAGAGGATGGACCATGCTGTGCTTGGCACTGAGGCTATGTCTACGCTGCACTTTCATCAGTAAAACTTTTATTGCTCAGCGGTGTGAAAAAAACACCCCTCTGACCGACAAAAGCTTTAGTGCTAAAAGCGCCGGTGTGGACACTTACTGCCCCTCGCTGGGGATGGCTTTAGTGTGTCGTGGGAGAGCTCTCTCCTGCCAACGAGTGGCTACACTGCGCGCCTCACAGCAGCAAGGCTTTAGCGGCACAGCTGGCCGCTGTAAGCTGCAGTGTGTAGATGTAGCCTGAGTGTTGTTGGAATGGGGAAGATTATAACCTGTCTGGATGCAGCTGCAAGGTATAAATTATCTGCCTAGTTTAATTTGGTTTTGGTGCTTTACCCTGCAAGGCTGCAGCAGCTCTTCAGAACACCAAAAGCATTACCAAGAACTCAGCCTTTCAACTGAAGCAAAGGTGGTCAGATTAGGAGCTGCCCTCAGTTACCAATGCAGCAGCACCTTTTCAGCATGGTCCCAACTCAACGCCAGAGAGAGCACTTTACAGCAAGCCACCCAAAGTTCCCTTGGGACAGGACTTCCCTACACGCTCAAAGACCTCAGAGCGATGAGCAAAGAAAGCTCCCTCGGAGACAGGCAGCGATGCACATTACCTGTGCTCTACGTAGAGCAGAGGCCGACTGTCTGCGATTACACCACTCTTGGTTTCATACGACAGCCCACTGGAATCCTCCATTTTCTCCAGAATGCTGTCAATGTCTTCCAGGTCATCGTCTTCCTTAAGGCACCATGCAAAGACATCACAACCATTAAAGGATCGGTCTCACCCCAGCTCCACGAGAACAGATCACTCCTGCCTTTCTGTACGAAGCCCCATTCTGGGCTGGCTGCTCGTTCCCACTTGCCTTGCTGTTCGTCCATTACACGATGACTCATGCTATTTTCTACATCACTAGCCTTTGACTCAAGACTGGCTGCGGTGCTAAAACAAGTGCTCTAACTCAGTCACAAGCGATTGGGTTCAGGGCAGGAGTCACTGGGGTAGATTCTCTGGCCTGTGCTGTGCAGGTCAGACTGGATGATCAGAATGGTCCCTTCTGGCCTTAGTGTTTACAAGTCTGAGTTTGTACTTTTAACCCTTGGCTGTCCCCTCCCTGGTGATTTTATTTCCATGTTCTATATTTGTCTGATTTAGATCAGTGGTCTCCACAGCGGGGTGTGCGCACCCCAGGGGGTGTGCAAGAGGATCCTTGGGGGAGCGCGGCAGGACAAGCGCTTTTTTTTTCTTCGTCCGAGCAGCTTTTTGTTTTGTCAATAATGGTAGAGCTGGCGCGGCAGGGGGTGTGTGCTCAACAATTTTTTACTGATAGGAGTGCGCGATCAAAAAAGTTTGGAGACCACTGGTTTAGATAAGCTCTTGGGTGATGCAACTATAGGGGTTTTTTAAACTCAAAAGCACAATGACAAGTTACAGTGCTACGTAAATACTGACCACTAACAACAGTCAGCCCTCAGTGCCTGTGTCAGACACGAACACTGTCCTCCCCCCGAAGTACCGTGTACTGCACGGATCACAGCCAGTCCCTTGATGTCAATTACACAATGGATTGGATACACATGGGACAGGGCTCCTGATTCCGCTCAGAGCAAAGCCTACACACTTCCTTAGGAGGAGATAGTTTAGTCAGACTCAAAATCTGTGCCCTTCCCCCACCCCAGCCACACACACATTCACCGCTGCATGGACAGGACACTTGACAAGGACAAGTTCAAAACCCACTAGCTGCCACTATACTCAGCACCAGCCACCGCTCTCGGTGGCACTTTTGCTACGAGAAGTCAAACTGGCATCAATACAGTGATGGTAATGTGCCACTATGCAGGGGATGAGTGCCCAGGCCTGGCAAGGCGAGAGGACAGCGCACCATGCTGCTCTCAAGTGAGCCCTCTTGCCAGTGACGGGAACACTGGCAGCTAGAGAGACCAGCGTCTAGCCCTGCCTAGCAGGAGGAGTCGCTGTTATGCAGGGCCTGGGAGGATATGGGAAAGAATAAAGGGAGGGGCACAAAAAGCAAGATCCCAGAGGATCCCCCCACACCACAAAAGTCATTAAGATGAAAGATGCTGGTTTGAAGGTTCCAGCTTTAATAACCTGCAGCTGAGCTCTGAGGACATGAATGCAGGCTATGAAATAGGAATCACAGCCTCCAAATAAATAAGTGCAACATACTAGGTAGCACTTTCTGTGCATGGATCTCAAAGCACTTCACAAAGGCGGGTGACCGCTGGTGGGGGTCTCCCGAGCCTGGAGAGAAGGAAGGGGGTGGGGCTAAATCCCAGATCTGAGGCAGACATACCGGAGTCTCGCCAGCTGCAGTTCTCTTGTTCTTCCGTTTCTTTTTTTTCTTCCGTGGCTTGTTAGTTGATACAGGCTATGGAGATAAATGCAACAGGCACCAGTGAGTGCATGGGAGGGAGGCAGCAAGGAAGGTGGAGGTGGTATTTCCAACAGGAACACAAGCTGCCATGGGCTTGGCCTAGGAAAGAGCCATTTCTGTCACACTTGAAACGAGGAAGAAGATTAGGGAAGGGTGAGGGCAAGAGGTCACAGAACGCTTCAACCATCGATTGCCAGCCTTAAGGGGTTAAATGCAAACCGCAGTATTCTCACACCAGTGTCTGGGACTGGCAATACAAGGAACATTTTAGTTTCTTCAGGATTGGAGGAAGTTGTTTTAACCTCCCTTTGCTCCCCCAAGTCTCAGTGGTAACTAACGTTTGTTTTGTTTATTCTTTCCTTTTACCGGGGAATCCCAAAAATCACTCATTACCACAGAAACATACAGCTGCCTGAAAACATCACAGGTGATACGGGCTCTCCACTCTGTCTAGATACAACTCCTTAGGCACATGGTGCTACCTAGTCTTATCCAACAAGGCAGACAGGCGTACTCTTTTCCCAGGGGAGACAGAGCTAAAACTCATTCCCAGGATTACTGGCTCCACACAGATATTGCATTTGGTGATGAATCCACAGCTTAGGCAGCGCTCAACAACCACCACCTCTGAGATGATACGTAGTTTTTGCAATTTGGAACTAACTTAACTAACATGCCCCTTCTCTTATGAGCTTCCCCCCCAGCATACAACAGTGAGCCTGTTTTCCATCTTCGACCCTGACCCTGTTAATCCCCCTCACTGTTTTTAAACTAAGACCAAAAATAAAAAACCCCAACAACAAAACATTACAGTCAAGCCCCCCAAAACCCAGTATTTAACCTGCATTCCCTTGTACCTGTTTGAAATCGTCATGTAATTCTGCGCACGTGCATCTTCAAAGCAAATGCTTCACTGTACTTTGTTAAGACAACAGACCCGTCCTTGTAAGTAACCCAACAACTAATTCAGGTGTCCAATGGAGGGGAAAAGGACAATAATTTCTACTTCAAACTACTAGGGATTTTTTCCCCTTTCGTACATTTTGCATGAATTTAGTGCTCATGAAAATATAGGACTAGTAAGAATGGCACAAGCCACTTCCCTCAGGTAACTGCTACAGTAACTTTCTCTTCACAGCTGATCACCATATCCTGATCCAGGTATTCCACTGCCCTCCCAACAGACCGCTCTACCCGGGCACCTCACTCCCAACACAGCAATGCCCTGCCGTCCCAACCCTAGACCTCACACCGTCAGTCAGGCCCAGGTATGCAGTGCTTTGGGGAGGTGGACAAATGGCATCTCAGTTGTAACCAGTCATTTTCACTTGTTTGAATTCTGGTCCCCAGAGGTCACAGACTGATGCACTAACCCAGTAAGGTACAGAGCTACCAGTGCCAGTATGAAGAAGGGGTAAGAACTCTCTTCACGCGGGTGTGGATATTGTTGAACATTCCCAGGTACCTGCAGTTTGGTCACTGTCTGGTCCTGTTGTTGAGTGTCTTCTCCAACTCTCTGCCCATCACTCTCTGGCTCGCCAGTTTCAGCTTCTTCACTGTTCCCTGTGCCATCTTGCTCATTCAGTCTGGACTCTGCTTTCTCCTCTTTGGATCCTACATCATCCTCCAACTCTTCATTGGTTATCTGTGCAGACAGGGATACAAGGTTCAGGAATCTGGGGAGAATGGCAGGATGGATACTTGGCTGAGTCTGCACTGCCTGGGCTCCCACCAGCACAAAGCTGCACCCCAGGAGCAGGGATCTGTATTTTAATCTCATCTGCAGAAAGAGAGAGAAAATCCCTGCCAGCGTGACAGGAGCTAAAGTTGGCCATTCAGCAGAAGCCTACAAGAAACTTGACAGCAGTTTGGCTGCTGGTGTGCTGAGATCAGAGCCTGTCATGCTCACCAAGGTTGTCCCCTTATTTCCTTACTCCCTGTCTGCCTGTCCATCTGTTCTCTTGTCTCATCCAGGAGCCACTGTTTTGTTCTCTATTTGTACAGCACCTGGCGCAATGGGGACCTGGACCAGAACTGGGGCTCCCAGGTGACGCCACCATGTGAATGAGGAGAGAAGCAAGGCTCAGCCTGGATAGCTGTATGCCCACGGGGGGTGGGGTTAGGAAGATACTGGCCACCCGGCTGCACTTCCAGGCTGGTACCTGGACGCTGGCACCGCTCACTTGTCCGGAGTGAACAGGGGCAGGCCAGGGGCCGGCAGGGCCAGCAGCACAAGCTCTCACAGCCTGACCCCCTGACTCGCTCACTGCCTCCACCCGGCCCATCCCCTGCCAGCAAAGGGCCGAGGAGCCCCGCTGGGGCAGCCCGAGAACTGGAGACAGCCACGGAGTGGGGTCTGGCCTCCATTACATTCCCCACCCCCTACGCTGGGCCCGCCGGTGCCCCCTCCCCCCACACCGGGGCAGCTCCGGGCTAACGGCGGCAGCTTGTGGCATTACAGCCCGGCCCGGCTCCTCGCCCGGGGCAAGAGGCACTGCTAGGACCCCCGGCACTTCCACCGGCCCGGCCCGGTCCTTCCACCAGACCCGCCCCCTCCGGTCCTTCCACCGGCCCGGCCCGGCCCTTCCACCAGACCCGCCCCCCTCCGG